CGGGAGGCTGAGGTGGGAGGATTGCTTGAGCCTGGGAGATTGAGGCTGTGGTGAGCCCCAGCCTGGGCAACAGATTGAGACCCTTGTCTCAAAAATAAAATATATCTGAAGTTCTTAAGATGAGCTTGGCTTTCTGTGCTACCTGCCGAGGGCTCCAAACGGCGTTGTTCTGGATTCCCGTCGTAACTTAAAGGGAAACTTTCACAATATCCGGAGCCCTTGATGTCCTGCAAATGAAGGAGGAGGATGTCCTTAAGTTCCTGGCAGCAGGAACCCATTTAGGTGGCACCAACCTTGACTTCCAGATGGAACAGTATATCTATAAAAGGAAAAGTGATGGCATCTACATCATAACTCTGAAGAGGACCTGGGAGAAGCTTCTCCTGGCAGCTCGTGCCATTGTTGCCATTGAAAACCCTGCTGATGTCAGTGTTATATCCTCCAGGAATACTGGCCAGAGGGCCGTGCTGAAGTTTGCTGCTGCCACTGGAGCCACTCCAATTGCTGGCCGCTTTACTCCTGGAACCTTCACCAACCAGATCCAGGCAGCCTTCCGGGAGCCACGGCTGCTTGTGCTTACTGACCCAAGGGCTGACTACCAGCCTCTCATGGAGGCGTCTTATGTTAACCTACCGACAATTGCTCTGTGTAACACAGATTGTCCTCTGCGCTATGTGGACATTGCCATCCCATGCAACAACAAGGGAGCTCACTCAGTGGGTGTGATGTGGTGGATGCTGGCTCGGGAAGTTTTGCGCATGCGTGGCACCATTTCCCGTGAACACCCGTGGGAGGTCATGCCTGATCTCTACTTCTACAGAGATCCTGAAGAGATTGAAAAAGAAGAGCAGGCTGCTGCTGAGAAGGCTGTGACCAAGGAGGAGTTTCAGGGCAAATGGACTGCTTCGGCCCCTGAGTTCACTGCCACTCAGCCTGAGGTTGCCGACTGGTCTGAAGGCGTGCAGGTGCCCTCTGTGCCCATCCAGCAGTTCCCTACTGAAGACTGGAGCGCCCAGCCTGCCACAGAAGACTGGTCTGCAGCTCCCACTGCTCAGGCCACTGAATGGGTAGGAGCAACCACTGAATGGTCTTAAGCTGTTCTTGTGTGGGCTCTTAAACAACATATAAGATTCATGGAAAATAAACATCGAGTTTCTAAAAAAAAAAAAAAAAAAAAAAACAGATGAGCTTGAGGTTCCAGTATGCTTAATGGCAGGGAGAACTCTAAGTCTGGGATGGTCCCACCATTATACTTAGACTAGTACAGGGAGAGGTCAGGAGACTAGACTGGGTCAATCGTAGTTCTCAGAAATAATCTTGAAGCCAGGTTGCTTCAAGGCTGCTATCTGAGCATGCTAAAATAAAGCATCCCTCGGGTTTCCCAGAAATCATCTGCTTGTTTATGGGGGACATATTTGTAAGAACGTTAGTACCAATGTTTAAGGCTAAACCTAGGATTATGTGTCTCTCATATTTCATTTTCAAACCAAGCCTCAATACATTTTGATCTCATGGTTTAAGTAATCTGTTCTCATATCATCTGATTTCATTTTAGTAACCTGATCTTCTCTCAAGCTACAAAAATCCCTTCTTCCACTCCCCACCCGACAAATTCCAATGTTGTTATGAGACATCATGTTATGTACAGCAGCTGGGTATAGGCTAAGCTAGGACTTTCCCCATGGAGGATTCTCACTCTGCAACCGAAACTGTCCTGCTCCTGCCTCCCTGTCCAAGTTTCTCCCTAGTTGTCTGTCATCCCTTAGTCCAGGAAGACAGCTACCTAACTCTCCACACTGATCTGGGCAAATTTGCTTTTGCCCTATATCTCATGTTTTCTGAGGTACAACTCACTGAAGATATGACAAAGGTAGTTACGAAACCATTCTTCGAAATCCCCTGCACTCATATAAGGAAGGCAATCCCTGCCTGCCCCCCGCCCCATACCCCCACAGGCCACTCATCAATAAAAATGTCTGTTTAGTGCATGAGGCAATGCACAGGGAGACAAAGAACAAGGAAAGTGGAATAAGGCACGAGTGGGAGGGAGGGTTGCCTTGTCCCCTTGAACTGACCTCCCGTAAGATTTGTCCCAGATAGTAATGTCTTTCTTCCCTATCATCTACAGTCTTGGGAGCGCCTAAGTGGTCCCATTAGTACTGCATTAGCTCAGCTGAGCATCCCCAGAAAGCCAGATCGCTTCTGAAAGCCAAAGCCTAGGTAGAATGAAAAGGGCAAGGTTCCAGAGCTCCAGCAGAACAGCCATTCCTCAATTGCCCTCTTCTAAGCTCTATTAAGACAGGCCACGTTATGCTACTAAAACACAGAGTACCATCAGTTGTTTCACAGAACAAATGTTTATTTCTTCTTCTCACAAAGTCCATTATCAGTCTGGAGACTCTTGGGAATAGCTGCCCTCCATGCAGTGGCTCAGCGTTCTGGACTGCTTTGATTTCATGGCTTTCTCTGTATGTGGTTCCATGATTAAGGCAGGAAAGGAGAGCACTGGTTTCATGATTAAGGCAGGAGAGCACTGGTCTTGCACCAGCAAAAAAAATAAAAATTAAAAAAAAAAAAAGCTTCAGCCAGAAATGAGGCTGTTTCTGCTCATAACTCATTGACCAAAACTATCTCATAACTCTGTCTTAGTGCAAGGAGCAGGAAAGCAAAACCATTATTTTTACTGTTTACTAGAATACAAGTTCCATGAGGGGATGAAATTTTGTCTTTTGGCCAATCCTGTGTCCTCAGAGTATAGGACAGTGCCTGGCAAATCATAGGCATTCATTAAATTGAATGGTATGAATAAATATAGTGCCAGGAAGAAAGCCACACATGATCTGGGAGAAGAAACAGAATCCTGGAGGTTTAAGGTTAAGAAGGTGCTGGGGAAGAGCTAGGCAGACCAGAGCTTCAGAGGTGGCTGTACTTAAGAAATAATTATCATAGGCTAATTATTATTAGCCTATATTTCTATTGGCCAAGCGCAGTGGCTCATGCTCCCAGCACTTTGGGAGGCTAAGGTGGGTGGATCACCTGAGGTCAGGAATTCGAGACCAGCATGGCCAACAGGGTTAAACCCCATATCTACCAACAATACAAAAATCAGCTGAGCATGGTGGCACACACCTGTAATCCCAGCTACTCGGGAGGCTGAGGCAGGAGAATCGCTTGAATCTGGGAAGTGGAGGATGCAGTGAATCGAGATGGTGCGACTGGACTCCAACCCTGGTGACAAGAGCAAACCTCCATCTCCAGGAAAAAAAAAAAAGAATACTCAGTATAATTCATTTCAGAAAACAAAATAAAATTGCTGCGGAGAGTTCCAGACCAATAGCTCAGATGGCTCCTGTGACTTAGTTTATAAAGCACTGAAGCCAAGAATCAAATCAGCTTAGCATCACCACAACCACAGTTGCTCAGCTCCTAAACGGGGCTGTGATAGCCACAAATGCATCTGCTTCTTTGGTGCAGTCAGTCAGCCCAATGTATCACCAGGGAGGAGGGGAAAGGGGCAGAAATGCACACCAAATGTGCATCTACAGGCCAGTCTGTTTTGGATGCTTTACTTTCATCAATCCATCTAATCCCCAGAACAACCTTAAATTGAGTGTTGTCTCTACTTAAGAAAATGGAGACTTGGCCAGGCGCGGGGTCTCACGCCTGTAATCCCAGCACTTTGGGAGGCTGAGGTGGGTGGATCACCTGAGTTCAGGAGTTCGAGACCAGCCTCATCAATATGGTGAAACCCCATCTTACAACAACAACAAAAAAAGAAAATGGAGACTAATTCCAGTCACCAACCAAAAAACATAAAAGCTTTTCTTTTGTTTCTGAGACAGAGTCTTGCTGTTGCCAAGGCTGGAGTGCAGTGGTGCGATCTCGGCTCACTGAAACCTCCGCCTCCCAGGTTCAAGCGATTCTCCTGCTTCTCCTGCCTCAGCCTCCCACGTAGCTGGGACTACAGGCACATGCCACCATGCCTGGATAATTTTTTGTATTTTTAGTAGAGACAGGGTTTCACCATGTTAGCCAGGATGGTCTCGATCTGCTGACCTCGTGATCCACCTGCCTCAGCCTCCCAAAGTCCTGGAATTACAGGCATGAGCCATCATGCCCAGCCGAGACGGGGTTTCACCGTGTTGGTCAGGCTGGTCTCGAACTCCTGACCTCGTGATCTGCCCGCCTCAGCCTCCCAAGGCGCTGAGATTAAAGGCATGAGCCACTGTGCCTGGCCAACATAAGTATGTTATAAGCTGGAAATAGATATGTCATCCAGGCTGGTTGTGCAGGGATAACATAATAAATTTGTCTTGCTACTCTTGCCTTCACATCTGGTTGATGAAGCTAAATAACAATCAACAGACTCTCTAGCAATAAGGCCCTGTACCTCTGAGCAAGTCCCTGTACTTTTTTGAGCCTTAACTTCCTCACTTATAAAATAAGAGGTTTGGAAAAGGTCAGTTCTTTAACCTCTTTCCTGATATACCTAAAAGCTCTAACAGAAACACACCTGAGTCACTGCTGTAGTTAAACAAGCAAGTTGTAAGAAAATCCATAGGCTATACAGGACTTTTGACAATCCATCAAATTTATCACCTGAGGCTGCTGTTAAATGCTGTGCTGGAAAGAACAAAGATAAGTAGAGCTTACAGTGTAGGACAAAACAACATAGATGTGGATTTGCCCATCCTCACCCAACACTCAGCACCAGTTCCCAAATCCTTTATGTAGGGAACTGTCTCCTGCTGACCAGAAGTCCAGTCTCTATGCCAAATGAGCCATAGAATCCTGCCTGCAGCAAACACACTCCAACTCCCAAACAAACATAAGTCTCTTGCTCTTAACAACAACAACAACAACAAAAAAGCCAAATTAAAAAGTAAACAAACAAAACCCTGAGAAGTTAATCCTTAACTCCTACTAATTTTCTTTCAGGCCTTGGGCAAGTACTAATTTTTATAGCTGCTTTATCCTATTGACATTGCAACGCAGGGATGTAACAAGTCTAGTTTCTTTTAATGCAGATAATTCTTCCTTACATCTAATATATATTCCATGGCTACAAATTCCAACCTGTTTCCCCATGATCCCATTAGAGATGTTTTCTATTTTCCAATCACCACCAATGAGAGGCATAAGATAGTGCATTATTAGTTCATCTGGAGATTCCCTAGTGGTGAAGTTAACAAGATTTCATCACAGTAAAAATTGTGATAACAGGATCCAAGAGCAGAAGTTGCCAAAAAGTTCAAGAAGGAACTCAAATGACGTTGAACTTTGTGAACAGTGTCCAATGACAAAAGAAAGAAAATCCAATTTGGTTCTTGGAACACTTTACATTATAATTTATTTCTGCCTCATGAGACTATTGAAATTAGTAAGCTTCCTACCATGAAGAAAATGGTACACAATTAAACATGCATGTTACCATTTTTTTTTGGAAGACCATGCTGCAAATGTTTCTATTGGATATGTTCAAGAATGACTGGAGGGATCAATGTAAAACCAACAATGTTTACATCTGTGACCACAGAAGACTACTGATTGGCTGCAGAGGAAATCTTCATTCTTTTCTGTGAAACATGTTTATCCCCCCCATTTTCTGATGTAAAATTTATCAAAGTTTGTTATTTTGTTTTCCATAAATTTTAGCGTTAAGCTGCATTTGGTGAATATCTTCAGAATGAGGGCACTGGACAAACTTCTCTTCACAGGTGGAGTTTCTGGTGTCTAAGAAGGCTTGACCGCCTGCTGAAGTTTCTCCTGCATATGTTACAAGTATATGGCTGCTCACCTGTGTGGGTTCTCCGGTGTTTAATAAGGTGCGAGTTCTGACTGAATTTTTTTCCACATTCATGACATGTGAAGGGCTTTTCTCCAGTATGAGTTCTTTGGTGTGTATGTAGATTTGTATTTTGACTAAAGCTTTTCCCACACCATGAACATTTATATGGCTTGATTCCTTGGTGTGTTGTTAAGTGCTTATTAAGATCTGAACTCCATCTAAACCTTTTATCACACTGTTGACATTTATAGGGTTTCTCTTCAGTGTGAATTCTTTGGTGCTTAATAAGGTCAGAGCTAACTCTGAAGGTCTTCCCACATTCCTGACATTTAAAAGGCTTCTCTCTCGCACGATCTTTCTTGTGAAGATCCATAAGTTTCAGTAGCTCTTGTTTCCAGGTTGAAAGTTTTTTTCTTTTCTTCACTGGAAAATCTTGGTGCCATTTCCCTACTCTGTGCATATCAACATGATTTTCTTTGCCTGCTATTTTCTGGGGAACTTTCACTTTGGCCTTTTTTGATATGATGTCTGCTGGTGCTTGTATTTCTAAGTCAGAAAGAGATATAGGCTGATGATTTTCAGTGTCATTTTTGAGCTTTAACCCTGTTGGAATAAACATAATCACCCGTCTGTGTCCCAGAACAAGAAAATCACAGGAATATAAAGAAAAATTCAATGATCAATTGGAAAAAAAAAAAGGAACAGAATCCTAAAATGTTAAGCCCTTCCAAAAGTTAATATCAAGGCACAGTCCTCCTCTTCCCATGGTGTATTTACCTGTGGAAGATCCTCTGGCACTATCCTTAAACTCCGGGGATACTTGAACCCATGGCTCTTCCCCTTGCTCTAGACAGGAGATCACTTTAGGTTTGGGGAGCACAAATAATGCTGTGAAATGGACAAAATGAGGTCAAGAACAAGTAACTTAACAGTGAACTGGTCCATTAATCCCAGACTATTTCAGGATGACCAAAGACATTTTACAAATTGTTACTTCAAATGGTTAAACATCCAGTATTATGTCTATACTACCCTGTACCTATAGGTAGATAGGCAAAGCAGAAACTAAGAAATAAACTTAAGATGGATCAATGAAAAGGATATACGGAATAGGAATCCAGTACATGTTCTCCCTCTTTTTTTTTCTCTCTCTCTTTTTTTTTTTTGAGACAGAGTTTGCTCTGTCACCAGGCCGGAGTGCAGTGGTATGATCTCAGCTCACTGTAACCTCCACCTCCCAGGTTCAAGCAATTCCCCTGCCTCAGTCTCCTGAGTAGCTGGGACTACAGGTGCATGCCACCACGCCCAGCTAATTTTTGTACTTTTAGTAGAGTCGGGGTTTCACCATACTGGCCAGGATGGTCTAGACTTCTTGACCTTGTTATCCACCCGCCTCAGCCTCCCAAAATGCTGGGCTTACAGGTGTGAGCCACTGCGCCCAGCCCGCATATTGTCCCTCTTTTGCCATCAATGCCCTATATCCAACCAAGAGGGAACCAAGCTCCAGAAGTTGCAGAGAATATAAGCTGGTCTCATTAACTCTCTAGGACTCAGCCTGAGTAAGAGCAGTTGTGGCGGAGCCAATGTGAAGGATGCTGGCTTGGGTATCATAAGCACAAATGATTGCCATTATAATTACAGTTACTTTTTATTTAGCCTTTATTCTTTAGCCACAGGCCCTGAACTAGAATAGATTTCTACTATTCCTATAGATTACTGGTTCACATGCAGGTAAAGGAAATAGACCAAAACCACTTAGTGAAATTTCTCTAATTATGGATTTCCAGGTATGAACCTCTGTCACTCATTAATTCAATAAACATGTATTGAGTGGCTATGGTGCATCCGGCACTGCTTGAGGCCTAGGGATATAGAAGTAAAGAAGACCCCTGATTTCATGGAGCTTACATTATAACTATTTAAGCTATTGATTGACTGTCAATCAATAAACAAAATAATGTCAGGGAGTCATAAATGTTTTTTTTTTATTATTATGTGATAAATGTTTTAAAGAAAACTAAATCATGGTGAAAGAGTATTGTAAGATTCTGCTCCTGTGAAGCTATTTTAGATAAGGTTCTGCCAGGCGCGGTGGCTCACGCCTGTAATCCCAGCACTTTGGGAGGCCGAGGTGGGTAGATTGCTTGAGGTCAGGAGTTCAAGATCAGCCTGGTCAACATGGTGAAACCCCATCTCTTTAAAAAAAAAAAAAAAAAAAGAAAAAGAAAAAAAAATAGATAAGGTTCTGTGGGACACCTCTTTGAGAAAGTAATACTTGAGAAGAAACCTAAAAGTGAGTTTTACCACATGGTCAAAAAGGGCTTTCCTTTGCAAGGCAAAGGAAAAGCAGAAATGAGCCTGCTGAGTTCAAGAAACAGAAAGGTGATCAGTGTGGCTAAAGAGGACTAAGTGCACAAGGGCGCCAGTAGCAAGACACATGGGCAGAGACGTTCGTAGAAACCAGACCATGGAGGGTCCTGAGGCCTTGGTAAGAAGTTTGGATTTTTTTCCAAATATTTTAAGAAGTATCCACAGGCTTCTGAAGCAAGGAAATGCAATGATCTGATTAGGTTTTCAAAAGATCAATCTGGCTTCTGTTTTCTACACAAATAACAGGCACCTTAGCTCCTCTTGTCTCAGTCCCAGGTGATTCCCAGGTGTGGGAGGACAAGAGCGGAGGCAGGGCCGCCTGTTAGAAAGCTATTGACATAGACCTGCTTCAAAAGGATACTGGCTTAGATCAGGATGCTAGCAGTGCAAGGGGCTGAAAGACGGTTAGAGTCAGGATATGTCAAAGTAGAGCTAAGAAAACATGCTAATAAATAAACAGTGGGGTATGATGGCAAGATCAGGGTAAAAGATGATAGTACTTTGTTTGCCCTGATCAACTGGATAATGGTGGTGCCCCTTACTGAGATGGGAAAAACACGGAGAACGCTTAGGGAAAAGGAGAGGGTAGGGATCAAGATCTCTGTGTAGGATAAAGAGTGAGCATGTACATTTGGAAAAAGCTCCCCAGGTGATATGGATACACTACCTACATCCTCCCCTACACCATCTAGTTGAGAATCAACCAGCTTCTAGAACAGTGAGACCCTCTTACAGGGGTTCATTCTCAGTAAGCTGAGAACAGATTACTCAACTTCTACACAAAAAGAAGGGAGAATCTTTACCTAGAGAGATGACAGTCTCATAGTTTTCCTGCATTACATCATTGTAGAGGGCCTTCTAAGTGTAATCCAGTAACTCCTATTCTTCCTGGGAAAAATGTATGGCCACTTCTTCAAAAGTCAAGAAACTCTAAAGAACAGAATGGTCTTCAGTTCTGAACTTGTCACTGCAGAAGCAGCCTAACTGGCTATGAACTGCATGGTAAGCCAGCCACTAAAGGAATTAACATGATTTTAAAAAACAAAGAGGAGAAGGCAGAAAAAAACGAGCCAAGGGATCAGCAAACAGCCCGGGAAGAACCCAGTTCCCTCTGGGCCAAGCCTAATTGTCCAGGGTAGAGCCTCTATGGCTAACATGCCTCAGGGCACATGCTGGGAACTGTGGGTCTTGGGCAGCAGGGAAAGGCAGATAAGGTCATGCTCGGGTAGGCCTACACTGCTGGAAAGCACAGCTCACCTGGGACTGAGGCAAGCGGAGCTCAGGTACAACTGTCTAGTCTTTAGTGTTTGTCTGCTCAGGAAAGACTAAAATCTGTTGAGCAGGTACAGCTGTGGGTGGAAGAGAGCCAGAGGACATTTCTTTCTGCCTATGAACATCCTTAGCTCATTTCTAAAATATAGAAGATCCAAATTTTTTCTGGAAAGATAGCACACCTTCTTAAAAGTGTATACGGTAACCAAAGTGGCCTTCTCTTTGTAAATTAGAACCAAGTGTCTACCGGCCCCTAGAACTGGTTCCCCAGATGATTAACTTCAGTTTTCATAAGTAAAGTTACTAAAAGGATAAATATGTGTTTTTTCCCCCCTGGCATAATATAAATTGTTCTGAGTTTAGCAAAACACAGAAGTACTCTGTTTGAAATGAAAATGAAGTACTCAAGGACCCCAGTGTGTCAAATAAAAGAAAACAGGAGAGTAAAAATGAACTCGACAAATTCAAGTAACAGCAAGGAGACCAGCTAAGTGGATGGTGAGGACTGGGCAAGGGCTTGAGGAGCAGATGAGGGCTGGCAGGTGAATAGGAACCAGACTGTGCAGTGTCCTGGAGTACTGGTAAGATGAAACCTTTTTTTTTTTTTCCCCTGAATGTAAGTGACCACAGGCTTTTGGAGCAAGAAAATGTCATGATTTGATTAGGTTTTTAAAAGATCAATCTAGCTTCTGTGTAGCAAACAGGCTGGGGAGGGCAGGAGGAGATGCAGGGGCACCTGTTAGAAAGCTACTAATGTAGGCCTGGTTCAAGTTGACATTAGCTTACACCAGGATGCTAACAATCAGAAAAGCTGAGACATGGCTGGAGTCAGGATATGTCGAAGTGGAGCCAAGAAAACACGCTAATGAATTAACAGTGGGGTATGATGGCAACATGAGGGTAAAGGATGACTGTTACTTTGTTTGCCTTAAGCAACTGGATAATGGTTGTGCCCCTTACTGAGATAAGGAAGACATGGAAGAGAAAGTTTGGTGTATGAGAGAGCGAAGGGATTAAGAACTTCATACAGGATAAGCAATCAGGACGCGTACTTGGAAAAAGCTCCCCAGGTGATCTGCATACACATTACCTATACCCTCCCCTACACCATCTAGTTGAGAATCAACCAGCTCCTGGAACAGTGAGACCCCCCTCACTGGGATTCATTCTCAGCAAGCCAAGAATACTCAACTACATAAAGGGAAGGGAAAATCTTTACCTAGAGAGATGACAGTCTCATAGTTTTCCTGCATTACATCATTGTAGAGGGCCTTCTGAGTGGGATCCAATAACTCCCATTCTTCCTGGGAAAAATACATGGCCACTTCTTCAAATGTCAACAAGCTCTAAAGAAGAGAACGAACTTCAGCTCAGAACCCGTCACTGTACAGAAGCAGCCCAACCACCTGGCTATGAACTGCATGGTAGGCCAGCCGCTAAAGGAATTAACAGAACACAATTTCTTTTAAGTGAGAAGGCAGAAAAAAAAGGAGCCCACAGTCTGGGAGTTTTGACCAGAGGAGAACACATGGGGCTAACCCATCTCTGAGCTCCTCCTGGGCAGCATGAATTGGGCATAGCAGAGAAACGTAGCCCTTAACAGCTGGAAAGCACAGCTCACCTGGGACTCAGGCAAGACGTGCTCAGGTGCCACTGTCCAATCTTTGGTGTTTGTCTGCTCAGGAAAGGTTAGAATCTGTTGAGTAGGCACAGCTGTGAGGGGGAAGAGCCAGAGGAAATCTCTTTTATCTATGAACATCCCAAGCTCATTTCTAAAATACCGATCCTGACTTTTTAAGTACAAATGGGACATGGGTGGTGTGTGTGATGCCTGAAGTGGCCTCTTCATAAATAAGAACAAATTATCGCCGGGCGTGGTGGCTCACGCCTGTAATCCCAGCACTTTGGGAGTCCAAGGCGGATGGATCACGAGGTCAAGAGATCGAGACCATCCTGGTCAACATGGTGAAACCCCGTCTCTACTAAAAATACAAAAAGTTAGCTGGGCATGGTGGCGCGTGCCTGTAATCCCAGCTACTCAGGAGGCTGAGGCAGGAGAATTGCCTGAACCCAGGAGGCGGAGGTTGTGGTGAGCAGAGATCGTGCCATTGCACTCCAGCCTGGGTAACAAGAGCGAAACTCTGTCTCAAAAAAAAAAAAAAGAACGAATTATCTACCATCCCCTAAAACCAATTCCCCAGTTAACTGTTTCCTCAGTTTTTATGACAGAAATAAAAGGAAAAACCCTTTTTTCTCTCATATTTTTCTGAGGCAAAAATTAAAGGTATCTTAAATGAAGTACTCAGGGACTCCTGTGTATGGTAGGAGATGAAGTGTTTTGTCTTTTATTATGTTTTTCCTGGTACACATTGTTTTCACATTCTGCCACTAACAGCCCATCTGATCCCAATTCCTTCTGTATTTTATGAGGATAAGGTGGCCCCCAAGTCTTCCCACTACATTTCTTTCCTTCCTCTCCACTTTTCTAAGAAACAGAGTTCTCGATGTTGTTACCAAGAGTTCTGTGGTTTAGATATTTCTGTTCCCTAGGCAAACCCCCACTTACATCCACAGTTGGTATTTCTACTGCTGTCTGGAAGGACATCATAGTTGCTATCAAGGCTGGTTTTACAAATCCAGAGCAAGGTATTAAAAAAATGATCATGACATTTTGGCTGAATAAACTATTATCACAGTTTCCAGGAGGAGGAAATTATCATGAAGCTCCTTACCCCTCTCATATACAGGCTCAGTCTCTTTATGAGTATTCCTGCTCAGCTGTTCTTGCAGGCCCTGGTATGTTTTCCAAAATGCTTCATCTTGGGATACACCCACTGATTGGGACTCTTCTGGCTTCAGCCTGAAACTTGAGGCCTCTGCTGTTTCTCCCAAGAGCACTGTCTCTTTTCCCAGCTCAGGGACTGCAACCTAGAAATAATTCCCATCCTTGTTACCACACAACTTACTTTTGGTTTGTGGGGGTGGAGGCAGAGCAACAGGTGTACAGCCCACATTGTGGGAAGTATAAGACACAAAAGGAAATGACAAAAAGGCTTAAAGAGATATTGGGCCAACAATGTTCCACAAGTAACTATCCACAAATCTGAGAAAATTAGGGTAAAAGGAAACAAGCTGTGATGCCTGCCAGCCCTGGAACATAGCTGCTTCTACTCCACTGTATACGGTCCAGGTCAGGCCACTGGCAGGGTTGGGCAGGCCACTCATTCTAATGCTGCCTTGTCAGGCCTTTTCTCTTGACTTCAATCCCACAGTTGTGGTTTTCTAACTTCTAGTTTTCTCTAAAAAGTAAAGAAATGAATTTAAAACTTTTCCTTTCAGCTTGATTATCCCTAGAGTCAGGGAAGGTTTTCAGAGAATGGGGACAGAATGGAGAAAAGGGGCAAGAGAGAGGCTCCAACCTACCTCCAAATGATTTTGCCACCAAATATAGGTCCTGCCCTGTATTCTTCCCAGCAAACCTGAGGTCGGCAGATGTGTCACCACCCACCAAGGGCATACCCTGGCTCCCTACTTGTCAGCAGAGCAAAGGAACAACCATTAAAGGAAGGTAGTAGAGGTTTTCATCTACTGTAGGGAGGTCATCACCCCTCAGTGCATTTCTTCTCCTTGGCCATTCTGCTGTGATTTCTTTTTCCTATTTTTTCTTTTCTTTTGCAGTCTTCCCCTAGTCGTTTGATGATTTTTCCTTTTTTTTTTGAGACAGGGTCTGGCTCTGTCATCCAGGCTGGGATGCAGTGGTGCAATCATGGCTCACTGCAGTCTCAACCTCTCTAGGCTCAGGTGATCCTCCCACCTCAGCCTCCCAAGTAGATAAGACTACAGGCACATGCCACCATGCCAGGCTAATTTTTGTATTTTTTGTAGAGACGGAACTTCACCATGTTGCCCATGCTGGATTTTTCCTAATTTTTAAAAACATGTTTTTTTGAGACTGCATCTTACTCTGTTGCACAGGCTGGAGTGCAGTGGCGCAATCTCGGCTCACTGTAACCTCCGCCTTCTGGGTTCAAGTGATTCTCCTGCCTCAGCCTCTTAAGTAGCTGGAATTACAGGTGCACAGCATCACACTTGGATAATTTTTATATTTTTAGTAGAGACGGGGTTTCACCATGTTTGTCAGGCTGGTCTTGAACTCCTGATCACATGATCCACCTGCCTCAACCTCACAAAGTGTTGGGATTACAGGCGTGAGCCACCATGCCCAGCCTAAAACATTTTTAAAAGGGACAAGATCTCACTCTGTTGCCCAGGCCAGAGTACAATGTTGCAATCATAAGTCACTGCAGCCTCAAAATTCTGGGCCCAAGCAATCCTCTCACCTCAGCCTCCTGGGAAGCTGGGACAACACGCATGAGCCACCATGCCTGGCTTATTTTTTTTCATAGCAACGAGGTCACACTATGTCGCCCAGGCTGGTCTCAAACTGCTGGGCTCAAGTGATCCTTCTAGCTCAACCCCCAAAGTATTCAAAATACAGGTGTGAGCCACTGACCCTGGCCAATTTCTCCTTGTCTTTAAATGTCGTTGTTTTCCTATTCTCCTTCTTGTGGATCTGCTCTCTTTTTTTTTTTGGGAGACAGGGTCTCACTCTGTCACCCAACCTGGAGTGCAGTGGTGCCGTCTCAGCTTACTGCAGCCTTGACCCCTCGGGCTCAGGTGATTTTCCTGCCTCAGCCTCCCACGTAACTGGGATCAAAGGTGTGTGGCACCATGCCTGGCTAATTTTCATATTTTTTGTAGAGATGGGGATTCATCATGTTGCCCAGGCTGGTCTCAAACTTCTGGGCCTCAGGGGATCTGCCTGCCTCAGCCTCTTAAAGTGCTGAGATTACAGG